GTGGCACGTGCCTATAAACCCAGTGGCTCAGGAGGCTGAGTCAGGAGGATCACAAGTTCAAAGCCAGCCTCAGCAATGGTGAAGTGCTAAGCAACTCAGTGAAACCCTATCTCTAAATAAAATACAAAATAGGGCTGTGAATTTGATTCAGTGGTTGAGTGCCCCTGAGTTCAATTCCTGGTACCAACAAAAATAACAAAGTATATGTAAGTAATTTTCTACCCTAGATGTAGGTTAGCTATCTGGGGAGTTTTAAAAAATCATATATGTAGGCCTCATCCAGATCAAGTGAAACAGAATCTCTGAAGGTAAAGTTCAGGCATCAATATTATTTTCAAAACTCCAGGTGGTTTTACTAGACAGGCAAGGTTGAAAACTTCAAATCTGGAGATTTGGACCCATATTTTTTTCTCTGGGTCTAATCCATGATAGAGGAGAAAGAACAGAATGCTATGGGAAAGAGCCATGGATTTTTTTTTCCTTTTGTACATGTTTTAGTGTTTGCACAGTGCTTTTACACACATGTGCACACTTGTGCACATCCCTTACTTGCTACATAGCCGGACCATTGAGCTTCAGTAATGTGTTCAGTTTATGACCATGAAGAACAAGATGTCTCCAGAAGCTCCATACAAATAAACTTGCAGTTGCTGGATCAAGTTATTTCTTCTCCAGAATCACAGCTCCACTTTAATGGCTTTGGATTCTGGTTTCATCAAAAAGTCAGTAACTGTGGTACTTTCTTGGTATATAAAGATAAAGAACTTGCTGACACCAAATTATCCACCCTTCCACACCTCCTCCCCTGCCACACACCAGTCTGAACTGACCATGCAGAGGAAAATGAAGGGAATGGTTTCTCCCTGGTTTGGAGACTTTCCACTTGATGTTCTTCCAGGCATTGTGAAGTGGAATTCCTTTTAGTATATGTGACTGTAAAGAGATGGACTCTTGAAATGGAGACTTTGAAAAATAAGGATGAGCATATACAGAAGGAATATGTGCTCTTGAGAGTCAGCAGATTGGAATCTTTGACTTTGCTCTGCCCCTTCACCAGCCATGTAAGCTGGGCAAGTTCCC